AGGCAAAAAGCAGATGCAGAAGCTTGAGGCCAGGGTAAGAGAAATTTGCTTATATACAAAGTACATTAGAGCAACCAACAATACTTTGCCGATAACCCTGTTACATTACTGCCTTTTACATTTTTCAAACAGCCTTCTTGCACATCCTGCAGACACTAAACAACATTATGATCCCATCAGTCTAGTTTTTGGACATTTGACTAATATATGTTCATCATTCCTTTTCTTTTTGACTCTGGTTTGGTCTGCACAGAATCTTAAGTTTGCTAGATGATGACATTTCATAACCAGTGAGGTGCCGTAAAATCAAAACAGTAAGCTAAAAAGCTCAGTAGAGCTGCACAATTGGCTGATATATATTTTTTATTTTAATAAATGTTAAATGCAGCAATGCAGCTTTGAGCATAGCTCCTTATGGACCGGTTGATTCACAGTGAATGGTTTTCTGATGTTTTCAGGTGAGGGAGCTGGAGAATGAGGTAGAGTTGGAGCAGAAGAAGAGCAGTGAAGCAGTGAAGGGAATCCGTAAATATGAGAGACGCATCAAGGAGCTCACATACCAGGTGATATTTTGTACCATAACGTATACAAATAGCATGTGTATTTTCATCTATACAACATATATATCTATAAACACATTTCTATTTATCTACATAATTAACAGATATAAAATGCAGGTATACATTTTTTTATTTTTGTTTAAGATTTGTGTATGTATGTATATATAATGTATAAGAATACATATAATGTATATTTTCAGTGTATAAATCCAAAGGGATCTATATAAATAATGTTAAATGAGTATGTGTAATAAGCTATGGCTTTGGCCTAAAACTTTTGGGTCAATACAATTGCTTTGATTTATTTGTTTACATGTGTATTTCAGTTGTATAAGTTAAAATTATCAAAATAATCTAAACTAATATATAAATATAAGATGCTAATTAAAAATAATACTCCTTAATAAATTGGTGAGTCTCTTTCCTATTCCTGATTTATCCAGACTGAGGAAGACCGCAAGAATACTGTGCGTCTGCAGGATCTGGTTGACAAACTGCAGCTGAAAGTCAAAGCCTACAAGAGAGCTACTGAGGAGGCTGTAAGTATGGGCTGAGAAAGCTATCTTTCATTTGTGCTGTGTGCTCAGGATTTACTTAGTTTTGCAAAATGTCAATAGCTTAAAAGCACTTTTTAAGCTGTCATAGTTCATAGTTACAGTTCGTAGCATAGCATGTTTATATTAGGGATGCACAATAATTATCGGGACAGTAAAATTATTGTCAGATAATTGGAAATTTATATTATAAATTCCGGCTGGTAAATTAGTCAGATAATTTAGTTAGAATTCTTTTGAAAATTAATCGATAGGCTTTATGTTAAGTATTTTTGTGAAGTTCTTTGATGCACCTAAAAGAAGAAATAAAAGAACATCTGAAGAGTCTGAAGTTTCCCTTGTGTGTACAGTAATTTCAGTTAGATTTAGTTAGAACAGAGCAATGGAACATTAAATGATCCATCTTTGCTACCTACATCTTAGCCATTCTCTCCCCTCAGGTGTGCATACACAACAGGTTATGAACTTCTTTTTATATATAAAAAAATGTGAAATTATTATTATTATTATCGGTATAGGTCATGGTAAGTAGGTAACTACCAGTTATCATATAGGCTGGAAAAAAAGAACATATTGTGCATCCTAGTTTATATTATACAGTTTATTATTATTATTATTATTATTTATTATATTTTGAGAATACTAAAATACTACTAAAACATAAGCTGTTTTGCATTTTAGCAATGAAACATCTCAGCTGTAGCTATAGCTATAGCTGTTTACCCTTTCAACTGAAGACCAGTCAATTCTCCCAGGTTCATAGTCTCTTGTAGTAATATCATTTTGTGGCCTGTGTTTTTGTTGAATCCTGTAGGAAGAGCAGGCTAATACTCATCTGAGCAAGTTCCGTAAACTGCAGCACGAGCTGGATGAGGCTGAAGAGCGAGCTGACATCGCTGAGTCTCAAGTCAACAAGCTGCGAGCAAAGAGCCGTGATGTGGGCTCAAAGGTAAGAAGCTCTAGATTTTAACACAGCACTTCATATACTGTCCTACTGCCTTCACAATGATGCACGGTATTTCTTAATTATCATTCATTCATCCATCGTCATTCTCATATAATTTCAATGTAATCCATTTCAAGTTGTGTTTTATTTATAATTCAAAATCAGTAATTATACAACTGTTAATCATTTTTAATGGTAATAAATAAACCAGACCGGTCTTTGAATTGATCACTTTTATTCTGAATTTGTTAATGTATTTGGTAAGTTGCATTAGTGGAATTTAATATGTTAGTAGTAATGTATTTTTTTGTGACATAGAAAGAAGCTGACATTGTTTTTTAAAAACTGTTTATTTCTGGCCATTTCATGCCTTTATTAGTGAGTTGACAGTAAAGATATGACAGAAAGAGGGGATAGAGAAGAGAAATGGGACGACATGCAACAAAGGTCACCTCCCTGGCCAAACTCGAACCAGGGATGGCTCATGGTTAGCACCTTAACCCAAGGTGCCCCTAAATTAACATTTTTAATATACTATTTAACTATTTAGGAAAATCAATGTGATTTTTTGGGAATGCAGAGACATCAAGAAACATACCAATCAAATAAATGTAAACAAAATAACAAACAAACAATGTTAAATGATGTTGTGAGAGCACTGGGTTTGTGTTACGTTCTCACTAGTTCCTACTGTTCTTATTTGCTCATATGCAGTGAGTGAAACATGCTAATGTTGTGGCTGTGTTGGCATACTTACCCACATTTTTGTTAACCTATTTTAGATAAATTATTTAAAAAATAGATAAATGATTTACACTGAACTCAAGCTTGGAATCAGTTTTCACAGTGTCAACAAAAATGGCTTGAGATGTAACTAAAGCTAAACTTGGATCTTTAGCTTTTATATACATTTTAAAACATCTTCCTTCAAATGCATTAAGTGCTACATTGTTTAAACATACTACAGTAAAGGAATGCTGACAGTAAAATAAACCTTTGTCATGTAAAATTAATGTCACAATCACTAACTTAAAACATCTTGAATATTACAAGTTACTAAACAAAATTTAGTTCTGGTGTACTACCTTGTATAACACTTGCTGAGTCTTGGTGGTCCCCTAATCCATCTCTCTTTGTCTACTCTATTATCATTCTTCATCACAGAAAGGGCTAGAGGAGGAGTGAAACTCACAGATGGCCACCTAAGACCTTTGGGATCTCCTTGGCTGTAGTCTCCTTTGTCTTCAAAGTACTAGAACTCTATAGAATAAAGCAAAGTGCATTCAAATTAATGTGTAAAGTCCTTATTTACTGTATTTGAATACGGTAGAATTCTCACATTAACCTGGAGAGGCAAAGGGGAGACATAAGTATGTATAATGTATAAGTCATTATGTCAATATGGTAAATTAAATATGTTCACTTTATCAACAATGAAAAATATCATCTGCTAAACGTATTTCAGTAGATTAAGATATCAGAAGGGTTAGTATTACACACACACACACACACACACACACACTCACTCACTTACTCCTGCCTGATGTTTTTGAAAATCCGACAAACCCATAAATCCTAATAGGGTCATTACTTGTTAGTCAGATTGTAGTATTTTGTAAGCATTTTGTGTGTTTTTTTTCCAGCAGTGTCTCTACATAACTGTCTAAGTTGTTCTTAGACTGTGTCCCTAGAATAAAAAAATACTCTTTATTTTCTGTGTAAACCCTCTTCTAGAGTGAATCTAGAGTTATGATACAGCCGGTTGAATATATATAGTAACAATACTGGCTTTTTAGAATATTGTAAATCAGTTAGACGTTAGTAGTAGTGAGGTCCCTTCCTGATCACAGCAATACAAAACACCCATAAATAGATTTAAACAAAGCTGCTATTCGTTAAATAAACATTTAGAAGTTAGAGAAGTTATCTCAGGACACTTTTCAAATAGAGCAGGTCTAGACTGAACTCCTTATAACATTATTTACAGAGACCCAACAGTACCACCATGAGAAA